CTCTCTTTGTGTGTGACTGAATTCTGTTAAGAAGCTACTGCCTCTGTCACGTCTCTCAAAATATTTGAGAAGGGTTGTGAGCCCTGTTGACGGAGCAGCCGGGCCCCCAGCGAGAGCGACCAGCGCCAGGCTCCGCTCTGCTGTCAAATGCTCACGCCGCGAGGGAGACACGTTCACCGCGGTGTTCCGACAGCTGCAGCAGCAAGAAAACGCAATTCCCTGCTCGGGGTACATTTGTGCGTCGCGTTCTGTGCTCACAAAACAAAAACAACTCATACAGACCGAGCGACTGCCGCTTGTCCGCGAAGTTTAGTGCCAACTTTTGCGGATAGAGGGCGTGGCGTGGTCAGCGCAACGAATCCCCAAGGCCGTTAATTTCGGTTTTCTAGATCGGAGCCGCTATTTCCTTGAAATCGCTCCTCAGTTATCGTCACGAGGCTGAGTGCACCCTGTTTTAGACCCACTACTTCTCAGAAAAAATCTGGTAGCGCTAGGAATCGAACCTGGGCCACTGGATCTGTAGCCAGGGACGCTGACCACTAGACCACAGAGACGGTATTCGGTTCTCACAGTAAAGAGAAATACGTTCCCTTCCGCCGTGTGCTTTCTGTGAGGTGGAGCCAAAGTACTCATTACTCATTTGAGCAAATCAGATGTGATGCCCTTGATTGAGAACGGATGCCGGTGAGGATGCGGGAAAAGGGCCCAACCTGAATTTGAAATGAAAAAAAAAAATTTAATAGGAGGAAATATACCAGATAGATCCATTAGCAACAAAAATTAAAATAATTTTTAAAGATTGCTAGAAGCCTTACTGCTTAAATGTAATTTTATGATCAAATTTTCAGGCTGTCTTCTCCCCCTCGTCCGGAAACATTCCGGCGGGGCCCATGATTGAGGCCCGGCTCCTGATAACATTTCATTGGAACTAAAATTTTGTTAACCAACTCTTGAAAGAACACTCAATGAATTCTGTGAGTAGCCAGGTTCCGCGTGTTCTGGAAGCCCCAGTTCAGGAAGTCTCATGGGGAGACGTTCTCCACGACCAGCTATAACACTACGACATGGCCGCGCCACAGCTCAAGCGGTTAGTCGCTGACTCCCCACCGTGGCGGCCCGGGTTCGATCCCAGGTCTGGTCAAGTGGGATTTGTGGTGGAAAAAGTGGCGCTGAGGTAGGTTTTCTCCGAGTACTTCGGTTTCCCCTGCCAATATTCATTCCACTAAATTCTCCATCATCATAATCACCCGGGGCAGGTATAATAGGCCAATCAGAGGCCGCCGTGCTGAGTGGACCCAACTGGACTCCACCCCCACTGAGCGAAACACTACAACATCCCGAGACAGCTTCTTCGTAACTGGAATGCAAACACAGGCTGAGAGACTCCAAGCGGACTGTCATATGCCCTGATATCTGCACAGAGCAGGGATAGAAACCGCCGCAAGGTGGCCGGTAACAGGGTTCGATACGGTGATATGACTGGAGGAAGTGCTCTCTTTGCTACAAGAAATAGTGTTGTCTGAGAGCAAAGAAAACGTTCATGGGATCTGGAGACAGCCTTATTCTGTTACTTATTTCATGGCACGCAAAATGACAGCCAGACGTGTTTACAGTTTGCATATGTGCAGGACAGAAGCCTGTTTTTGACGGCACAGAAAATAAGAACAAATATATATTTATTGGATTGTTTAACAAAACGGAAAATTCCTCGCAGACATGGAGAGAATATTTTTAAATTTAACGTCCCAATGAATGCAGTCAGACCATACAAGAGTTCATATAACAATACGTATACATAAAATGTCCCCCAGATGCCGCGTAACATGGCGTATTTACGTACTTACTTCGTGGAACACAAAACAAAATCCAGAAAAATATCTTAATGTTATGATACATAAAATGATGGTGAAATTATATTATGCGTGACACAGAAAATACAGATCACACTTGGCGGACAATTTGTAATCAATATTTTGTTAAGACACGGCAGGGAGAATACAGATCTGATGCTGAAACAGTAGGCCAGTGAGGGCCCTAAGTAAGCCTAGACATAAATCAATTATTTTGCTAGCAAGAGATATTTCATCCCACTTGCAGACAATCTGTTATTTAACTGCTGACGAATCAGAAATCAGGACAAGAGAAAAACTGACGGGGCGTGTTTCTCATCGCCACGGCCAAACCAACTTGGCTCGCGCTGGCGACTGCATCTTAGATACATAAAATACAACCAATCCTGACAAAGATGTCTGACTTAAACTTAGGAGATGCTGAAATTTCTGTATTAACCAATAGGTATGTACACAATGCCTGAGAAACTGGTAATTGTTAGTTACAATACACAGATCTGCTCCTTCATATCAGCACGAATCCCAGGGATCTGCCCGTTGTCTGTCAATAACACTCTTCGACTTAACAGTTTGTGCGGTGATTAATGATACAGTACAATAAACAACAACAACAATGATTGAATCAAACAACGTTTATATTGTTTACAAATTTAAACATATTGATTGAACACTATAATTTGTGTATTATCGACAAACTACATCGATTTAACCCCAAAATGTCCGCATTGTTTATCGATAGAGCATGCCAGTTTAACCCAACAATTTGTGCACTGTTTATCGATAAAAAACAAAGCGATCAAACCCAACATTTTATTGCACTGTTTGTGGGGAAAAAATAAACGATTTAATCCAACAACTTTTGTGGAATTCATGGACAAAACCAACAATTGAAACCCGAAATTTGGGCATTGTTCACCGACAAAGCACTGCGATTTTAACCGAACCATTTTTGCACTGTTTAAACGCGTCTGTTTAACCCAACAATTTGTGCATTTTTATGGGCGAAATAAAATGTATCTGACTCAGCAACTCATGCACTGTCTATCGATAAAATGATGCAATGCAATCCAACAATCTGTGTTGTATATAGGACAAACAGTGATTCAACGCAATTTATGAACTGTTTATCGATAAAATTATGCGATTCAATCCAACAATTTGTGTTGTATATAGAACAGACAGTGATTCAACGCAATTTATGCACTGTTTATCGATAAAATAATGCGATTGCATCCAGCAATTTGTGTTGTATATAGGACAAACAGTGATTCAACGCAATTTATGAACTGTTTATCGATAAAATTATGCGATTCAATCCAACAATTTGTGTTGTATATAGAACAAACAAAGTGATTCAACGCAATTTATGCACTGTCTATCGATAAAATTATGCGATTCAATCCAACAATTTGTGTTGTATATAGAACAGACAGTGATTCAACGCAATTTATGAACTGTTTATCGATAAAATAATGCGATTCAATCCAACAATTTGTGTTGTATATAGAACAAACAGTGATTCAACGCAATTCATGCACTGTTTATCGAAAAATCACAGCTATTTAACTCAACAATGTGTTTGTTGTTTGTCAATAAAACATTAATTTAGTCCAACAATTTGTGCACTGTTTATCAGTAAAACACTACTTTAATGCAACAATTAGTGCACTGTTTATCAGTAAAACAAGCTAATTCAACTGAATATTTTGTACATTGTTTATGAACAAAACAAAGTGATGTAATTCCGCAATTTGTGCTTTGTCTATCGATAAATCAAATCGATCTAACGCAGCTTTCCCACTGCGAATTACTCGAATAATCAGTTCTATGTTTACCGATGAAGCAAAATGACTTAACCCCAAAATCTGTGCATTGTCTCTGGACGAACCAGAGCGACTTAGGACAACAATCCGTGCATTGTTTGACGACGGACGAGTTCCTTACCTTGTGGAGCGAGCGAGCGAGCGGCTGGCGTTGAGGCGTGTAGCTCGGTAAGCTTGTAGCATGAGAAGTGCACGCGGCTTCTGTAAGTGCTGAGCTCTGGGTCGGTGGCTGCTCCCCCCTCCCCCTCGTGCGGCCAGCCATCCGACGGACGAGCTGAGCGTGGGAAATGCACAGTAGCCAGCCCGGGGAGCGGCCAGACATAGGCCACGCCCCCCAGGCGCTTAATGATTGGCCGATTGAATAATCGTGCCTGTGCGACCAGCAAAACGAGCAAAGAATTAACGACGAGTAAAATAATTGGTTGCTATGGTAACTCCACCTCGGCTTGGCGGGTAACAATGCAGCCGCCGCCCCCACATCGGGCGAGCAATATGGGAAAATGCCAAAGACAGGATCCTGCCTGGGGGAGCATCCCATGGGGGGGGGGGTGGCTGCTTGTTATGCAGAGGGGCTCGGGCGCCCCAAGGTACAACAGTCCGCCACTGAAACTCATCTTGAGCCATCACTGCATGTTTAATATTATCCTCCCATGTACTCCTACAGCGTCCAAGTGGTCTGCTGCCGTTTTAGTGTGCTTCATGCCACATGCTGCAACCACCTTACCCTCCTTGATGTAGGCCCAAGCTGTGGCGAAGCTCCTGCTATTTCCGCTCCCCTAGGTCGGTCCATATATTCGCCTTGACACTCGACATCTGCCAAGTTCCGCACCCATACAAGACAACAAATACAGTTGAGTGTGGTCTGGCCTCTGTTTTATTCCAGTGGTTAGTATACAGTATTAATAACATTAACCGGTTGGGTTTAGCAGCAGACGTCATGTGTTTCCTGTGAGGTACGGATTGGATTGCTATATATTTAGAATAAATTCAGTCTCTAAGAGACCCGTGACCCTGCGAGTAGTAGGAGGCGACGAAAAGGGAAGTCTCAATTCTGAGACAGTAAAATATGGTCGAGAGGCCCAAGGGACTCGGACCCGAGTAAGACTGCGCTGGCAAGGGCCGGCAACATATACAAAAGACAGACCCGTCCTCTCGTCAGAGATAGCGCCCCACAGAAAGAAGACCGTAACTGTCAAACGGTAATAATTAATATCTGGTCATGAGCCCAAAATGGGGCTCGACACCAAGACTTACTGACTGACTGACCGTCAGTCGCAATGTGACTTTGACTCTGAGTCTTTAAGGGGTTTAATTCTTATGCTTCCAGACACGAGGCAACCCTAAGGGTTCCGAGAGGCACTGTACGAGACGGAATGACTGAATGGACACACGGCTTGGTGAGTAAACTGTAGTCTGTTGCTGGCGTATGCAGTCCATACATTCTTGTATAGCACTTAGAAGAAATTAAGTCTTTAAAGGGTTAAGACAGACTCCATTATCCCGTTTCTGGATATAAGCGAAGACCGAATGAGGCGATGATGCTAGGCAACAGAGTGCTGTGCTAACTTACGGGACAGACGTCGGGGTGGAAAGGACGATGGGCAATGTTGCCACTGGTGGGGGTCACACAACCGTGGGGAGAGCAGTGAGAAAATCTGGCTCAAAATAGGGCCCTGTGGCAGGATTTTGTGAAAGCGGTGATGAATTTTCGGGTCCCATAGAAGGCGGTGAATATCTTGACCAGCTGCGCCATGAGTTACGTAGAGCCAGATCAGTGTCTCGCACCATACCACCGGAAGTGAGAAACGCATAAGTGGCAAACAGAAGAGTATCGTGCAATTTTCGTTATGAATTCATTTTTAGGTAAGTAAAAACTAACAAGGCAACGGCGCGAGCGGCGAGTTCGGATTGCCCTGCGTGCGACGGGATAGGTGGACCGCATAGCCATGCAAGCGTAATGGCTGCCGTGAAATGAGGTGCAATCGAGCGATCAGCCATGTCAAATCGTGAGGTCTATAGGAGCCACACTAATGGCGGCCCTATGGCTGCTTCTGCTTCAGCTTTTACAGATCAGGCCCTCTGGCCTTTTCCTGTTCAGAATATCTTCTGAGTTATGAATTGTCCCGATAATTGTCAAAGTCCTTGGGCAAGGGATTGGCACATAGCTAAGCATCTACATGCATAGGACAGTGGATCGGCCCATCGCTAGGTCTCTACATGCATAGGACAAGGCATCAGCCCATCGCTAGATTTCTACATGCATGGAACAAAACATCGGCCCATCGCTAGGTCTCTATATGCATGGAACAAGATATCGGCCCATCGCTAGGTCTCTACATGCATGGAACAAGACATCGGCCCATCGCTAGGTCTCTACATGCATGGAACAAGAAATCGGCCCATCGCTAGGTCTCTATATGCATGGAACAAGACATCGGCCCATTTCTAGGTCTCTGTATGCATGGAACAAGACATAGGCCCAACGCTAGGTCTCTATATGCATGGAACAAGACATCAGCCCATCGCTAGGTCTCTATATGCATGGAACAAGACATCGGCCCATCGCTAGGTCTCTACATGCATGGGACAAGGCATCGGCTCATCGCTAGGTCTCTACATGCATGGAACAAGATATCGGCCCATCGCTAGGTCTCTATATGCACGGAACAAGGCATCGGCCCATCGCTAAGTCTCTACATGCATGGGACAAGGCAACGGCCCATCGCTAGTTCTTTACATGCATGGAACAAGGCAT